TCACCTAGTGCAGCTCTGTCCCAGCTAAAGGGCCCCAACCAACCACAGCCTACAACACAGTTCTCAGCAGACTTGCCAAGACCAAGCTGAGCTACCCAGCTGAGTTGGGGAGAGGCATCTGCAGCATCTATGAGTGAAAGTGTAGGTGTTAACCCTATAATAATAACAGTAATATTGTAGGGAGAAATAAGCCATGTCTATAGGCTCAGAGGGTTCAGAGGAATCTGTAATTTCAATATTCTTGGTTGTATCAGCCAACATATCTTCATCCATGCTCAGGATTCCAATTTTTTCCCCAAAAAGTCTCTGACCTTGGTAGGCAATTTAACCTTCCATGGAGCTCAGCTACTCTTACAATGAAATTGCATTTAGCTTTCAATTGTTGATTAATCACTGTTAGCATTTTGTTAATTTTTTTTTCCAGAATGATTGAGTTTAGCAACAGCCACTCAATTCCATTTTCCCTGTAGTAGCTATTTTCCCCTACATGTCTTGAATCTATTTGATACATGGTACCAGCTAGGCATTTGCTTCAGCCACGCTAGTGTGCCACTGCTGAGAATTTTAACAATTGCACTGCCACCTTGTGCCCATTGTCAGCCAGGCAGAAAATAATTCGGCTCCAAAATATTTGTTCCAGTGTCCACTTTCTTGGGCCACTCCTAACACCAGCTGTCAAAGTTGAGTTCTCCAAGCAGTAGATTTGGAGCCAGAGATTAATGTGTAGGAGGTTTATTAGAGTGTGCTCTTGGTATCAAGGGAAAGGAAGGAAATGGAAAAAAGCAGGATTAGACAGAAGTTGAGCTGAGATGCAGGCTCAAGGGAGGCCTCAGCCAACCCTGCAGGGAGTTTTGAGCTGGACTGACCCTTAAGAGTTGTGCTGAGTTGTCCTTCCATTGATAAAAAATGAGTACAGTCCGCTCTGGAGAGGCAGTTATTTCTAGCTAAAGCAATCCTGGTAGGGGGCTGACAGTTCAGGGCCTTCTGTGGGCTGCACTCCTGGCATCTGTGGAAGTAAATCCTTCTTCTCTGACAGAGAATCTTGGCTGTGCCTCATAGAGTCCACAACTACATGATTACAACTAAATACATTGTGACATAATGAAGACCGTTTATTCACACCTAAAACACTTTTCCACCTATTTACTGTAATTCTGCAGTCTTCCAATTAACACAACTCTGTCATTATACATCTTCCTGGGTTTTCTACATCCATAAGCATTAACTGTAATTAGTTATTTTATTTTATTTTTCAAATGCCACTGTCTAGTCTGAGAGCTTTATATGAAAGATACCATAATTTTTTCTTTTTTTTCTTAATCACTCTGCTGACACACACAAATGACTCTATAAATGTTTCTGGAATGGCTGTTGATCGGGTGATGTCATAGTGTTTTTTGTCCAGCTTTCTATCCATTGTCCATCCATTTTATTTTCTATAAAATGTACTATATTAAAGACTAATGATCACACTGTGGATATTCTACTATTATTTTCCTTTTACCATTCATTTGCATATAAACATCTAAAATTTTAAAATTTCTCATAATATTATGGGGGAAGAAGATCCTCAGTTAATGGACCTTGTAAGGTAGCTTAAACTAGCTTTTCAAAGGACCCCGTCGATGTTGAGGTTAAATTACTTTTAGATTATATTTATCAAAAATTTTCCTATCTTTTATTAGGCTTGATTTCTAGTGGATTGAGGCCCAGTACTCCTCAGCACTTCTCATATGTTTTCATGGTTCTTGTTTTGAATGTGGGTATCACATCTGTGGCCTATTTCTGATCTCCATTAAATTTGATTTTGCTAAGATAAGATCTCATATTATTGTTAATACCTGCAGATTTCAAAACTTTTACATTGGATCTAGAAATCACCCTTGGTTCTCAGTAACATTTCCAGAGAGAAAAAAAAATGCATTGCACTTCTCTTTTACTTTAACATCTGTCTCTATTTTTCTGTAAGTTCATATTCTTGGCAATGGGAAAACTTTTCTACTCAATTGGACAGAAACCAGTAACTATCAAAACACCGCAGAGAAGGTATTTTTTTTTTCCTATCTTTCAGTTTCTTAAAAAATTAATGTGGCTTTAGAAATTACTCCAGAGATATTTGTAGAAAATTGTCAGTTTGGGAGGAAATATGCCAGATGCATACAGTGGTTGCACATTAGGGAATGGGTGGTAAGTTTGCATTATTCAGTTTTACTGCAATATGGGAAAGCCATTGTCCCAATACAAAGAATGTGTTGCTCAGGGCCCCAAATCTGTCACAAGGATTGATTGTGTGGAAGCTGCAAAAGAAGACAATTCAGCACAATTTTCTGGGGAATAGAGTATTTTTACAAGATTTGTTGGGAGGCCCAATCTTAAATAAATAATGCCAAACCCCTTATATGCCAAGCTCAGCCATCACACAGCCGCTTCTGGAATGGTGTTTGTTCTATCATGGGCTCATCTTCATTTCTTTGTCAGAGAATTCTTTTCATGGAAATATTAATTTTTACAGCATAAGTCTGTACATTATGTAGTTTCTGTGATATAAATCTCAAGAGAAAAATTATTAGGAAGTTATTTCATAATATTAATAGCCATGTATTAAAACTAAGCCTTAAAGATTGAATGTGGTTACTACTACTTATGGGCTGAACTGTGTCTGTCCTTCCAAAATTAATATGTTGAAATCCTAACCCACAGTAACTCAGAATGTGATATCTTTCAGACATAGGGTCTTTAAAGAAATAATTAAGGTAAAATGAACTCATTAGGGTGGGCCTATTCTAATATGTGTAGTGTCAGCAGGAGAAGAAATTTGAACACAGACACACAGAGACTGAAGACCATGTGAAGACACAGGGAGAAGGTGGCCATCTACAAGCCAAGCCGAGAAGCCTCGGAAGACACCAATCCTGCCAACACTTTGATATTGGACTTTTCTGGCCTCCACAATCGTGAGAAAACAAATTCTTGTTGTTTTAGTCACTTAGCCTGTGGTACTTTGTTCTGGCTGCCCTAGAAAAATAATCTACTTCTCGTAACAATAAGAAAACTTACTGAATTTTTGATTTGTGTGTTTAACTACATTTTAGTTCCTAAAGCTTGCTCTTTAGCTGGAAAATTTTGTCATAATTAGTGTAAATCCATTGCTAAATAAAACTGTATTTGGATTTCTTAAGCATATTTGAAGTTTTGTAAACTCCTCCATGCCGTTCAAAAAGGTGATGCAGCCAACACTTATGATACAACGCTCTTTCTGATTAAGAAGATTTCAAAAAATAATTTGTTGAATAAATGAAAGGTAAACAGAAGAACAATCAACATTTTCACTGTTTTCCCTGATATGGATATTAGCTAATTTTAGCCCTAAATTTTACCATAATTGACAGAGGACTGGGCTACCAAGATTAAATAGGCAGAGTCACAAGAGAGGATTTTTATAAAGCAAGAGCCACTTTTTAAAAAAAGGATCACTGTCTTAAGAAACTATACATTAAGATATTATGTCATGAGGTTTCATCATTTTTTTTATCTGTGGAAACTTTTATGTTATTTTAGCATAAATGATTTTAGAAATAATGCTGTGTCATTAAGAATTCATGAAGAATAGTACAAAGTGTAATAATTTAATTTAAAGAAAAAATTTTCTGTTGTAGCCCCACAGCTTGCCATTTTCTTGCTAGATTTTCATAGTATTTGGTTGTGTAAAAATTTATGTTATGAACTGAACCATGTCCCCACAAAACTTGTGTGTGGAAGCCCTAACCCCCAATGAGACTGGATTTGGTGATAGGACTTTTAGAAAGGTAATTAAGGTCACATGAAGTTACATGAGTGGTCTCTAATCAGAAAGGAGTGGCATCTTTATGTAAAGAGGAAGAGACACCAGGGGTTTGAGTGCACAGAGGAAAGCACACTAGGACCACAATGAGAAGGTGGCCATTAGCAAGGCAAGGAGAGAGGTCTCAGAAGAAATCAACCCTGCCTTCACCTTGACCTTGTACTGCCAGCTTCCAGAATTGCGATAAAATATATTTTTGTTGTGTAAGCCACCTAGTCTGTGGTATTTTGTTTTGGCAGCCCTAGTGAACTAATGCAATGTAGTTCTTAGATATCTGTTGAGAACATACTAGCAGGAGGGAATTTGGTATACTTTCTAGAAACAAATAGTTTTCAACATTGCATTTTGGTTTCATATTTACAGAATGTCAACGGTTTGTGTTTATGTAGGAGAATATATGTACATTCCAAATTTATGCAAAGCCACCCATTTTTATTCATGTTATTTTTTTCTCTCAGAATCACCAAACTTATTTGAGGAAAGGCAAAATCAGCAGAAAATCCAGAAGCCAAATTTTCAAAAGAATATGTTTTTGTAACAGGAAAACTTAATATTTATCAAATATAATAATAAGAAAACCTCAAAAACTGTGGTGATATGATTATTGTATTTATCATTTGCATAGAGTGAGCAATAAAAATGTAATGTGCATAATTTATTTAGTATTTTTTTCCAGGATTATTTTTGTGTGTGTACAGAAAATACTTGCCCCAAAACAAATAGTTCTTTTTTTTTTTTTTTTTGAGACAGAGTCTCACTGTGTTGCCCGGCCTAGAGTGCCATGGCGTCAGTCTAGCTCACAGCAACCTCAAACTCCTGGGCTCAAGTGATCCTACTGCCTCAGCCTCCCGAGTAGCTGGGACTACAGGCATGCGCCACCATGCCCGGCTAATTTTTTCTATATATATGTGTTTAGTTGTCCAGATAATTTCTTTCTATTTTTTTAGTAGAGACGGGGGTCTCGCTCTTGCTCAGGCTGGTCTCGAACTCCTGACCTTGAGCGATCCACCCGCCTCGGCCTCCCAGAGTGCTAGGATTACAGGCGTGAGCCACCGCTCCCGGCCTACAAATAGTTCTTAAATCATAAAAAGATATCTAGTTAGAATGACAATATATATATATATGAGAGAAGTTTACAGAAGTATTTTTGTTTGCACCTCAGGTGATTCAATTTTATTTCAGCAAAATTATAGAGAAGGTATAAGAATTGCAATAAATATCAGCAGTATACCCACGCTGTTACACAAGAAAACAGAGTGATATACTTAAGTGGTATTTGACAGGAAAACATAGCCATGTTGTTTCATCTCTTCATTTCATTCAGAACAACATTAGATTTAAATAAATTACGAAAAAATGACAAAGTGTAATACAAGAAATATCCCATTGTGATAGACATGAGATTTCTGAGCATTATGTTTACAATAAGTTCAACAAAAAGTTATCAAAATCCTTAAAGTCTTATTTTGCATCATCAGTATCTCTCAGTGCCTGAGTATGGACTGCAGGTGGCCAGAGATTTGTCACTCGGTGTCACTGTAGCACCTATTTCTTTTAATCTGCTCTTCCACAGTGAGTTGTTCAGACTGGACCTCCGCTCTGGGAAATGAAGGCTTAGCTGCACATTCATGGCTCAGAGCATCAGAATTTGTGTTTCCATTCCTGCGGGCTACTCCTATTGTTTCACCATGCCAATGTTTAACGTCCTTTCCAAATTCTCTCAAATGCAAACATGGCATATTTTTAATTTGATCTACAGAATCTGTGAAATCACACTCAAAAATGTTCTCATTTTTCTTGGAAAAAGCAGTGATTTTCACAGTGTTAGAAAAGAAAAAGTGTAGATTTTTGTTATTTGAATGGTTTCCTTTAATGTTTAAGAGATTTGTATCAGAAGAGACGATTGAACTTCCCCCCTTTACCACGAAGCCCCCGTTGAGGGCCAGTTTCGCGGCAGACTGCACAGGACTGCCAGCAGCCGCACTGCCAGTCTGTTTCTTGAGAGCTGTAGCTAGAATATTCCTTGAATAAGTCTGTTCAGATTCAAACATATCAAGTAACTCTGAGATTTTAGATGCATTTTCTAACTTTCCAATTTGATATTCATTTGCAGTGTCATTTGCTTCATTCGACAGGGGCAATAGTGTAGGAAATTCTAAAATAGATGTCTTCTGCCTGCAATTATTTAGACACGAGACTGCTACATAATTGTTATTATTATTCTTATTCAAATTCTCCTTATGATTTTCTGGTACCACCTCATCATCAGCGTTATTAACCTGTAAAACTTCTGCACCATCAGGTTCATTAGTTTTTTCATTTTTCTCCTTTTCAGCACTCTGCACAACCACATTGTTGTTGTTGTGAAGATCCATTTCACTTTTTCTCTTATTCTTTGTATCTTCACCCTCACTCACCTTATCTTGCACATTCTTATTTCCTTCTTTCTTTTCATCTTTGTTTGCTTCGTGCATTTTCATTTCTTTGACTCCTGTAGCATCTTCTTTCTGACACACAGGGGTGGACTGCAGATATGGTTGCAAGAAAGAAAGGTGATCTTGTTCCTGTCCTTTATTTTCCAGAGTTTTAATGTGTTCTAGTAGTGATTCACCTTTAAATTCAGGGGATGTAGGTGTTGTCATTTCAGGTGGCCATTTAGGTTTAATCATTTTGAGCTCGTCCTCAAGGGGAAAGGTTTTCTTAGGCACCTCCCTGGAAGGAGGCCAAACAATTTTTAATTTTCCTCTTTCCCCTAATTTTCTCAAACCACCCCTTTGCCTTTCATTGTTACCAGCATCTAAATATTTATTAAGATCACCAAGTATGAGGGTGTTTGCTACAGTGCTTTTACACATATGTTGCTCTTCGTTGGGAATAAAGTCCACTGAGTTGCTTTGGTTTTTGCAATTCCATCGATCTTTATGTCGTTTGTGTCCAAAACCTTCATCATAATTTCCTTTAGATTTGAAAAGTTGTTTAAAGTGAGGTTTACAGTATATTTGTCCATGAAGTGATGCATAATTTCCCAAACTGCCAAAAAAAAAAAAAAACCATTAAGCATTTTGTATATTTACCATAAATTCACAGGGAATTAGGTAATTGATAATTTCAATAATGAGTTATAAACTCAGTTAACTTAACCTAACAGTAATAGGAATGAACTATTAATTGAACATTCTTGTTAGATAATAGCTACCCACATAATATCTGTTTTTCTGTGCTTATAATTTCACGATGTAAGTCAAGTATTGGTATCATAGGTATTATAGTGTAATACGCATGTAGTTATAGAACGTGCAGAATGATAAGACTAACTAAACCTGTGCTAATTAAATGATTTATATGAGGGCTTGCAATTTAATAAATCCTGAATAGCACACACACACAAATCAACTATGTGAACTTCCTGGTTAGCTGGATTTTGAATGAATTGGAAAGCTTGCTATGCAATTGCTTATCTGACCTCTTTAGGGAGATCAAAAATAGTGTGCTTGTCAAAATTAAAATCAAATTTAGTCAGAGGCAGCAGCATAGATTTTGAATATCTTTGCATCTATGCATAAAAACAGATAGATCAATTAGATAGTAAACTTAAAACCCACGGGTAACATTTATAAGAAAACGAAGCAAAAAAGTAGCCCCACTAATGTCAAAATGCAATGGGATAGGGACAAACCCCCAATAGGCACAAGCCCAGCATGATAGTCCCATTTGTATGGGTGATAGCAGAGGGAGCAAGGAAGGTGTCTGATGGACCTGAAAATATGAGACCACAACATAAGCAGCCAATATTTTTTGGAAAGTATCAAATGCCAATCAGACAACAGTGGCTGAAATGGGCAGGGGTTTTGTCCTCTCCTATAGCAAGTGAGCACAAGGGACCTGTGGTAAGAAAGACTGGAGAGACTAGATAGGCCGAACCCTCAGAATTGACCCAGTGGGGTTCCCTCTCAGTTTTCTCCCCAAACTGAGAAAAAATATGAGTGGGATCAAGATTGATCAGGATAATGACAACAGATGTGAAAGAGAAGGGACTGACCAACATAGGGGAGAGGAACCAAGTCAGGAAATCCCAGAAATAAAGCAGCCTTATCTTTTTGAACAATGTGTGAAAACTAGAAGAGCTAGCTCTGGGCAGTTAGAAAGGCCGTCCTGAATTTTCATCCTTCTGAGATTTTGGAAAACTAATTTTATGTAAAAATGAGCAACACAAATGTACCAAGGTAAAATCTTATACAGTTATTTTAAGAAAATAAAAGAATAAGGAGTTCCATATTATAATATCCCTGCAGATAATAAAAACATGCCAGAAAAACATACCTTGAAAAATACCAAAAATTTAACCTACTATTTCAAAATGAGCTAAAATACATTTATAACATGATAAAAGACCTGAAAAAACAACGTGAATCAGAATTTGAAAAACTTATAAATGAGGTGCCAGAAATCAGGAAAAAAAATAGAAATAAAGAAAAATATCAGCAATAAAAACTAAACTAAAAGCACAAGAGCAAATAAACACAATAAAAGTGACTTAAAAAGAGAAAGAAAAGAATAAAAAGATAAAATTTTAAACAATCAAAAAGAAATAAAGACAAAAGGAATTTGAGAGAAAGAGACAAATATTAATGATAGGCAAAAAATATCCAAGGTATGGATAACGGGAGTTCCTGAAGAAGAAAACTAAAGCAATGAAACAGGTTAAATATTAA